GAGAATTAATTATTATTTAAATAATGTGATTATTTAAATTTGAATTTGAACACATCTAGATTTATCCATTTAAACTTATTTGATAAGTTGTTCAATTTAGAATTCAAATTAATTTAAGTTTGACTTAAATTCGAATTTGAATCTGAATTAAAATTGGACTACTGGATAAAGGATAAAATCTCTTCCTTCCCTATCTGAGATTGGCGCCACACACACAGGGATAAATCCCTAGGGTGGCCGGCCACTTAAAGGATAAGGGGAAGGGATTTTTTGTTTCAAATTTAAAATTGGAGATAAGGATTTGATTCTATTTCTCTTTAAATATGAGAAAGATAGAAAATTGTAGAGACAATTTGAAAAACATTTTTTTAGCCCTAGTTTTTTTAGGGTGGCCGAAATTCTCATAGAGGAAAAGAGAGCAAAATATTTTTCTCCAAAAATTCCACATCGTGCATGCGTTGGTGTTTGTGGAAATTCGAGTGTTTAAGAAACCTGTTTTGTCTCACGTGTGCCCACACACACGTCTACGTGGAATCAAGGAATTGACGTGGAAGACTTTGGTATTCTAAACCCAAAGCTTGGAGCAAGGACTGTTCATGGTCAAAGAAATTCAAGTTATCATCCGAGTCAGCTTCCAGGTATTTTTCGGTTGATCCTTGAATGATGTAAATTAATGTGATTAATTTATTCGTGCATAAATTAATATAATCTATAGAGTATGTCAAATGTTTTATGAAAATTTTTGTTATACACGATCCGCTGTTTTTTTTTTCCCACCACGCTTCCGCACCCGAATTCGATTCGGGAACCAGCACTTTTGTACTCCAACCGGACAAATTTCTGTGAGGATGGAAGTCATTTATCATCCATAACAATGCAACGTGCATCTAGAAATAGGCGTCTTCTTCTTTATCATATGATCGAACTCCTTTTTCCTATAACTCTTTAAGCTCATCTACCAATGGGTGTAGATAAGTATCTATATCTTTTCCTGGAGCTTTACGCACAGGAATCAACAATGTCATGATGAATGCAGACTCTTTCATACACTTCCACAATGGCATGTTATACAGAACCACAATCACAGGCCACATGCTATATGCATTGGTCATGTTTCCAAATGTTAACCTCACATTTCTTGGTTCCTTTGCAAAGTCAGGATACTTCTTGTCAAAGTTCTTCCATACATTTCCATCAGTTGGGTGTCTTAAAACCCCATCAGTTTTGCTTCAACCAACTTCGTGCCACTTCATATCTTTTGCAGTATGGCTTGATTGATATAAACATTTTAGACGAGGCTCTAACTTAAAGTAACGCAATACCTTTTGAGGAATTTTTCCCCTTGGTGTGTTTATCAACCCAACAACTCGTCTTACACACCAGACACTCTTCTAACTATGCATTCTCCTTTCAAAATAAAACACAATCATATTTACAAGTATGAATAGGCTCATACCCCAAGCCAAGAGCGCGTAAATATGATTTTACCTCATAATGTGAACTCGGTAACTTTGCCTCTAGAAATGCCTCAATCAACAATTTGAGCAACATGTTAAACATTTTGTTACTACATTTGTTCATGAGCTTCACATGCATCAATTTGACCAAGAATGTCAAAGCCGAAAACTTTTCACAGCCAAGATATAAAGGTTTTTTCAAATCATCAAGCAGTTGATCAAACTGTTCAGAATTTGTTGATCCTCTTGAAATTTTAGTTGATGCATCCATAGGATCTTCATCATCATCATTTTCCACTTGGACATAGCTAGACCTGGCAATATCGTGCAATAGATCATAACAATCATACTTTAACTCAACATTAGGCATAACTTGTTCAGCTGTAGGAGGATCACTAACAGTTTCACCATGCGAAACCCAAGTCTCTCTTTTATATATTTCTTGCATCCCTCTATCGATCAAATGAGCTTGAACTATTCTTGCGGATACCAGTATACATTACCACAATCACGACATGGGCATCTAATATCCCCATTTGTATTAGTTGAATTTTGAACTCTTTGGATAAACTCCCGAACCCCAGTTATGTACTCCAAACACAATCGATTAGGCAGCGATGTCCAACTATTGTCTATATACATTTTTGACCAACTAAAAGAACATGCAAAATATTAGTCACTAAAAGTATTGAGAGTTATATGTAAATCAAACAAAAAAAAAACATGAAAACTACACATTTAATATTATTATATATGATTTTTTTTTAAAATATTCATTTTTAATTATTAAAAAAGACTAGGTAACGCAAAAAAGAATAACAAGAACAACGACAGCAACACCAATGACAATATAATAATAATAATAAGAAAAAAAATTAAAGTAATAAGAGAATGCTCACCTTAAAAAAAAAAAGAAACACCTGGCGATTAAAAAACAATACAGCAACAATAATAACTACAATAATTACAACAACAATAATAATAATAATAATAATAATAATAATAATAATAATAATAATAATAATAACAAAAGTACATTAATTTCTTAAAAAAAAAGAAATACTCACACAATCTATTAGAAGCGCCCAACTAAAGAGAAAGAAATATGCACATAAATTGAGGAGAGCTAAAGAGAAAGAAATATGCACATAAATTGAGGAGGTTTGAGGGGGGAGAGAGAGCATGAAGTTTGAGGGATAGAGAGCGTTGATGAAGTTTGAGAGAGAGTTTTTAGGAGAAAGTTGAGACTGTAGAGAGTAATAAAAATTAGCTTTTTATTTTTATTTTATAATTTCATTTAATGAATCCTATTAGGAATTGGAGATTGTATTCAAAATTGAATTTGTTTTAATTTTTACCCATTAAAAAATTATTTAATTATCAAAATTTCCTGATTCAGCGGGGAAGTTTGTTATGTTTTTCCAAATTTTTTTTACTTTAAAAAAACAATTTCCTGATGCCTTTGCGCATTAAGAGCTTTTTGAAAATTACATATCTCAAATTCTAAAAAACTTTTCGACGCTATATGGCGTCGCAAATTTAATTTTCAAAAACTTCCTGACGCCTACATAGCGTCAGAAAATTAACTCCTAATTCTCAAAAAACTTCCAGATGCTATATGATGTAATTCTTAAAAAAAATTTGACGCCTACATAGTGTTAGAAAATTATATCTCAAATCTCAAAAAACTTACCCACGCCATTTGGCGTCACAAATTTAATTCTCAAAACTTGCCGACGCCGACATAGCATCGGAAAATTAACTCTCAATAAAAAATTCCGACGCTATATGGCATCGCAAACTGAATTCCTAAAAACTTCTCGACGTTTATAGGCGTCGGGAAGTTTCTAGTCAACAAGATCCGCCCGGTGAACGACTAAATAAACTTACCGAAACTAATTTTTTAAAATAACGTCGATAAGTGTGAATATTTCTGACGACATAAAACCATCAAGAATTATTAGCGTCAATAAATACATCTTTTCTTGTAATTCTCAGCCAACTTCTCCAACCGGTTAACCCAGGGCCGGCCCAACCTTACTGTAAAAGACTAATATTGATGTCTAAAGGACAAACTAGAAAAACGACAGCTACATGTAATCGACAATTTATTGAAACGGCGTTAATTAACTTTACAAAGGAAATCAAGTGAACAGGATGGCAAGACTATAACCAACTTCTCCCTCTGTCTATTCAAATCATACCATAGTTTGATGGAAAATTATATTAATCGATTCTTTAAGCAAAAAATTTTAGCGTGAAGCTTCTGCTACCCGGCCGGTTTCTAATCCTTCAATTGCCTGTACGGAATTAAATATATTCGTTCATCAAGAACTTTCGTTACATTAAGAATGAGAATACGGAAGCATAAAACGGCAAATTTAGATATCTTAATTTCGTAATGTTTATTCATCTTAATATCTTAATATTACACAAAAGGACGACCAAGACAATAGAGCACAAATTAAAGCGAGTAAACGCTTTTACTTATTTGACGTATATAAACATGCATAAAATATAAGGTACTTGACACATTACAACACGTTACAGCATGACATTGCCATAGGTTACAGAACGCTGACGCACAGGCACACTGCTCGAGAAGAAATTTTTGGGGGGCTTGCCAAAGCGGCCATGAAATAATTTGATGGTTGAACATTTCGTGACGTTTGCTTCCATAGGAAAGGATCCTAGTACCAGAGCCTTTACAAGACCCGGGAGCTTATAATTCTTTGAGGCTTGAACATGTGGAGGAATGTAGATTGCCTTGGCAATGTCGTCAAGCATTTCGGTGTCGGAATCATAACGGTTGGAAGAGTTGTAGAACATCTGAAACACTTTCAAACAAGAGAGGTGAAGATGCCTGCATTCTTTGGGCAGATCTGTCAAGTCATCCATCAAAACATGCTCAAGAAACTCTTCTTTTTTCTTGTTCAACATCTCTCCCACGTAAGAGATTGCCTCTTCAATGTTTGCCTCGGGGTTGTTTCTCAAGTGGAGTAGAACAGAGTTTGGTGTGCCTTCATCTTTTTCTTTCTGCAAGTACGTACGTACCACATGAGGGAAAAAAATTATTGGGACTATTGCATGTAATTAGATTATTTTTGTAGTGATGGAAGCCAAATTCATTAATGATTACAATTTTGTATTAGACTATCACATATTGATTTTTTCATATTTTTTTTTGTCTTTTATTGAATAAATTATAGCAGGGATTTTGATATAAAACGAGTTGTTTAGTGAGTGCCAACTTAATTATAATGCGTAAAGTTTTTTATATGAGTTGCCCAATATTTTCATTTAAGAAATGAAAGCGAAATTAATGTTGATCACCTTGTAGCTTTGCATGTCATTCAACAGTCGTGAAATAATCATGAGCAATTTTGTAAGGGGTTCATATTTGGGCGGTCGAAGTTTGGAAATTGGTAAGCTTGGCTCCAAATAACATGAAGCTGGTAGAACTGTGGTGTGAGTGCCAATGGATATCATTCCAACTTTAAGATATTCATCCATTGATGGTATGCTGTCACTGCTACCCCACTCGGATTCCACAAGCCATGAAAGAAATGTTTCATACCACTACAAAAAAAAACAAAAAAAAAAAAGTCATTAATGTTACTTGGTTCAAAGTAGAACCTTAAATTAATTATCAGAAAAGTAAGAAAGGTCATAGCTTACTATATCTCTTAAACAACTCGTTATGTCGCTTCCTTCTTGTTTGAAGTACTCGGTTGCCATTTCATTAACAAGATTATCAAGGGCATTAAAAATTATCTTACCGTCCCCACACAAGCCCTTGGGATTCCATCTGGAAAAAAGTTGTATCAATTTGATTAATATAATTCATTCATTACAAGTATTTCTTTGGACGAATGGATATATATATATATATAGACATAGATATAGTTACCTTTTAATTGCATCAATAAGGCTTCTCAGCTCATTCAAAGAGCGTCCTTTCATGTCAAAAAAATCGTCAGCAACCGTGATTAGAATGGCGCTTTTTGCAACCATCAGTCGAACATGGGAATCGTAAGGCAGAGAACAGGATGCAGCTACTGCAAAATAGCAGTAGGTAGTTTTCTCTCTTCCAAATCCCATAGCGCTAAGTCCACGGTCTTTAGACCACCTAATCTCCATAGAAGACAAACAAATCTACTAAATGATTATGTTATATACGTATATGAACACCCCAAAAAAAAAAAAAAAAAAAAAAGACATATCTTAACTCTTGGATCTCAAAGTGCCGACCTCATCAGCAGAATAAAGGAGACCTATAACTTTAAAAAAACGTACGGTTGGCAACCAATCAAGGGTAGCCTACCATTTCTTTAGGAAACGTATTACAGACGCTTGGTTCACATTTGTTAAAATAGTGTTAAAACGCGGCAATATAAGATTGGAAAAAAGAAAAAAAAAAGCCGAAATGACATAGAGAGCTCTCATGATTTTAAGAGAGCGGAGAGCCAATATATGCATCTGCTGATGTTACACACGTTGAGTACTAGAATTACATGTCATCTGACTACACATTTAGGCCTCGTTCATTTCACCAATTCGAATTTTCAATTCTAATTTTGCTATAGTTAAAAGCTCTCACATAAAATCACATCTCGACTCGAATTGAAAATTCGAATCCGCGAACTGAACTGAACGAGGCCTTACACTTACAACTAAAGCCGAAATGACATAGAGAGCTCTCATGATTTTAAGAGAGCGGAGAGCAAATATATTCATCTACTGATGTTACACACGTTGAGTACTAGAATTACATGTCATCTGATTACACATTTAGGGCTCGTTCATTTCACCAATTCGAGTTTTGCTATAGTTAAAAGCTCTCACATAAAATCACATCTCGACTCGAATTAAAAACTCGAATCCGCGAACTAAACGAGGCCTTACACTTACAACTCAGATAATTGTTACCAAACTGGATGGCCTGTGTGTGTGTGTGTGTGTGTGTTTGTATACCTTTTCAATTGGTCCAATTCAGTCTTGTAGATAAATTGCTGCCATTAAAAAGTACAAATTATAACATATAAATTTAATAAATAAAAACTTAAAACCGGACGAGTTCAGGATGGGAACCCTAAACCCGTACCCTGAAAAGATCATGTCTATCATGCGGGTAATTCAAGTTGGTGGGTAAAATTGATTACCATCCCACTAATTAAAATATTGTGCATGTTTAAGTGAGAGGTACATATATACATACATATATATATATATATATATATATATACATACACATATATACCTTTGAAAGGAGGACTTTCCCCTCCAAAGAGCATTGTTTGCACTTTCTTCGATCCAAAGTCTGTGCTCCAGGTGGTCCAGTCGAGCCATCCATGCAATACTCAACTCATGCTCAATCTATGAATCAACTTTGTTGTTAGATCATCATGATATATATATATATATATATATATGTGTGTGTGTGTATGTAAGTAGTGGATTTTACAGTACATATAAGTAACACTACCACAAACAAGTTAAATATATATATGAGAGATGCTAAATAAAACTTTTGGTATTTATCATTTATTATTTAAAAACTTATCATGCAACATCATGTGAATTTCAATATGATAATATGTAAATATTATAATAGACATGTTAACTTATATGTACTTATAGAGAAAAAAAAAGATTATATATGCAATATGTATGCGTAATATGCGTATATGTATTACTGACAAAAATGTCTTAATAATTAAAAAGCTTCAAAATATTCAAAGACAATTAAAAAAAAAAAAACCAGTGGACTACAAAAGTCTACATTTCGAGCATTCCTTTTCATACTCATTTCTAGTCTAATTATGCATATGGCTATGTCTGCGAGACTGCGACAACATATATATTCCCTCGTTCGCATGATTACTTCGTTTTACTTTATATTTTTATACTAGCTATCTGAAACCACGCGGGAGAGAATTTATATTATAGGTAAAAATGAAAAATATATTTATTAGGATCTTATTTAGAGAAATAAAAAAATGCAATAAAATAAAAAAAAGTAAGAATGAAAAAAGGAAAAAAAAAAACAACATATGAAACATTTTGTCAGGAAAAGAGGATTTAAAAGAAATTTAGATCGGAATATGTATGAAAAGAAATTATTTCAACAGAACATTAGAGAGAAAAATATATTTGTGTGAGTCAATTTAGGAAAAAAAAATGTATAATAAGGTAAAAAAAAGATAAAAATAAAAAATTAGAGAAAAATTAAAAAATTAGAGAAAAATTAAAAAAAAAAAGAGTAAGAAAAAGAGAGAAAAATAAAGTTAAAAAAAATAACGAAACTTTTTTAACAAAACATTTTGGGTAGCATAGGAAAAAACCCATTTACTTTTAGCAGGTAGTATAGATAGATAGACAATTGTCTTGATTGCTTAAGTTAGGACACGTCAGAAATATTTTTTGTCACCAGTTGTACATTGTTTCCTTTTCTCCGTTTTTTTGACACCAAATGATTCAACGTGAAAAGAAGGTCAAATTACAATGTTTTTCTTAAAATTTAAATTTAATTTTTTTATTATAATATTTTTACTCATATAAAATTTACTTTTAAACTCAAAACTCAAGTTGTGAAAAAAATGCTACAATATCAACACATTCAAGTAGTACGACTTTTTTAAAAGCCATATTAATTTCTCTAATTCAACTCATGAGAGAAAGGACTTCCAGTGGTCCCATTACAACCAAAGCACTTAAAATAATTATAAATGATATAAAAATCGAGTCTCACATGATTAAATATATAAATAAGTTTATAGGGTATTAAATCACATCACTTAATAGGTATGTAAACCTTTGTTTTTTATAAAGTCTAATTTCTAAAAGTTGTCAGAGTCTAACAATCTTAAACGAGCGACTTGATCTATCCAATACAAGATTAGTACTTCTAAAAAGAACACCATCTTATGTGGCATGTAAAGGATAAAATAAACATGATACTCACAAATTTAAACATAAATTATAAAATTACACAAGATAGAAAACTTTTCCGATAGTGAAGTTGAAATATATTAATTTTGAAAATATTTTAAGAATAGCAAAAATTACATTGTAATTATTTTAATATATTCATGTTTATTTTACAAAGTTATGTGGTAATTAATTATTTATTTTAATGATATTGTTTTTTGATCTATTTGTAAAGTATTCTAAATGTTTTTGTTATATTCAAACACGCTAGTTATGTATAAAGTCTAAACATAAACTTAGACATTAAACCACCCACTTAATAAGTAGTCCTTATATCACAAAAATTAGACCTTATAGAGAGTTCAATTTTCTAAAATAATAATCACAATATAAGAGTTACATGTTAGAATTATTAACATTGACAAATATCAAACATAAATGTCAAAAGAAGATCATTTACCAATATTATATGTAAATGTAACTTTTTTGTATAAAGTTAAGTCTCTAGGCTGTTCTCTTTTATCATTTACCTTATAGGTGGCTTGCACTGATAATGTAATTACCAAGAAACAGTAAGTTAATTACCAATTTACAGAAAGGATTTCGATGATCTCCCTCCCCTAAGGAATTGGATTTCTCAATTAGTTTTCTTGCAAATGTTCTTGCTTCCGGAAGCTCAAATTCTGTAGGAAACATAAGATCCGTAGCTCTATAAACGTTAAGTAATACACCGGAGAAGTATTCAAAGTTTTTCTCTATAAGATCTCTAACTTCTTCGTTATATAAAAACCAACAGACAGTCCCTGTGACACGAAAGATATGCAAATTAGTATAGTAAAATTTATAAGCGAAAACATATATATGAGTAACAAATTTCAGGAGAAAGAAAGAGAGATGATGCATGGCTAGGATTTTAGTGTATATATATATGTGTGTGTGTGTGTACACATATATATAGCAATTTGTAAAATTAAACCCTTACGTGGAGATACTTTATAGCCATGCATTCTTAGGAGCCGAAAAGCCAAACAATCTTTGAGTAGTTGTAGTTGTATTGTTGTGGCTGAATGGTAGGGTTCTATACTCGGTTTTCGATTCATGAGTATGTAATTCCTGAAATATTCATACATTCATCATACAATATTAGAATCCTAAGGACATGTTGCGAAAAATAATGATACAGGTTTTTTTTTTAAAAATTTTTATAAGTGAAAGGACCATTATCTTATCTAGCATCTTAATAAAATATATATTGTTCTTTATAAAAATCTTTCTTATGTTATGAATTATATCCAGTATTATACTCAACATGTGCGGGGATGTAGCTCAAATGGTAGAGCGCTCGCTTTGCATGCGAGAGGCACAGGGTTCGATCCCCTGCATCTCCATTTCCTATTGTTTTTGCGTTTATTTGTTTATTTTTATAACAACATACGTCAATTTGTAGTGTTGTTTGTACTCACTCTTGAAAGAAGTTTTAGTTGCTTTAAAGTATGTGATAAGAAATAATACATAGAATCAATAAGTGCGTATGGTTTAATTACTTGTGAACTTTTTCGAGAACTTTTTCAGTCTCCACCATGAAATGCTCAGCCAACCCCAACCGTTGCACGTGGTTAATAATGCAAAGCTTTATGAGGTCTTCATCTATTGGGTAAGTTCCAGGAACTGCATACATAAATATTCCATATAAATAAATATATATATGTATATATATAGTTTCGTACGTGATGATTTGCAGAAAAAAAAAAAAAATCATGTAGTAATAACATTGTATCTGACCGCCATTTTTGGAATATCTTTGAGCTAGAGACTGTAAATAGGCCAAGCACTTTTCATTTCCCGTGGCCAAAAATGCTTGTGCTGTAGCAGAGGGAGATTGGAACAAAGAGCCGTCATCGCTCAAGTGCTTTATTATATCTCCTTCTTCAACATTATAACATGAAGGCAGGGCGTCCATATATGATAGTAATGGTGGATAATGATGGCTATCGACAAGACCCTCTCTACAATATGATTAACAGCATAAATATCTATATGATTAGTTCTAAACTTTCGTACGCACTTATATACCAATCAAACATGAAATCATGAAAAAATATGAAGATCATAAGTACTTGGATTAATTACGTTTCAAGAATCAGTTGCCTCTGGGAAAATATATCCGAAACAGCGGATTCTTCTATTTCGATCTTCAGATCATAAACTCCTCGGCAAAATTGAAGCATTCCTGGGAAAACGATCGCAAACCAACGAGGACAGTGATCTTTGACTTCTTTCAGGAGCTTCTCTGCATTTGACGATTGAATATAGGCCAATCCTGCGATAGTTGTATAATTAAGAGACAGCTCATAAAGTTTTCTGCTAAATAATATTAAAAATAAAATAAAAGACAGAGAGCTTGACGACTATTGGGGTAAAGAAATCCGTACAGAAAATGAAACTTGGACGTAATCGCATGTGTTTGTATAAAACTTATATATAAGAGTCTTTAACAAAAATATTAAATGTAATTCTTAACATCAAATAATGTCAAAGTCATTTTACGATTAATTAATATAATAACTTAACAAAATTTGATATAAATAGAAAAGTGTGTAAATATATATTGGACTGAAAATCACGTACCTTTGTTTATCATGATCGTGCCAACGTTCCACCTTCTGAGTGCAATAATGCAAGCAAGAGTCGCACTAAGACACTCAATGGTGGGGTTTCCATGGCCATCACACTCTCCCCAAAACCCTAGTTCATTCTGGTTGTTAAGTACCCAATTCAAGCAATCTTCGAACATGGGTTTGAAAGGTTTGTGGGAATCATCATCAGCTGGTATCATGGCCAGCCATGCAGTGTCATAAGCAGAAGGTGCAACGAGGGAGTAAGGATCGACGTCCGCTGTGAACATCGTTTCCTTAATTGCTTTTACTTGATCAGAAATTGCGGATAATTGCAACTCCATAATATTAGATTGATGGATTGTTGTTTATAACAAGAGAACTAGGTCGATATTTATAGTACATTTTTAGTGTTGGAAATTCTGTTGATGCTTCACGCAATGAGGTGTTCAATAGACAAGACAAGTTAAAAGGTTGTTGTGATCATTGGGGTCCAGCAGTAGGCTCTTTCTTGGAAGGTCCAAGTCTTTGATCATGCAAGTGGAATTTTTTCTGCGCCGATTCCCAATTTCATTGTGGAAATTTATATACATGTGATTCAGGTTAACTTGAATATCTGATCTTTGAAAAATTGAAGACTTTGATTTTTTTTATTTTATTTTAATTTTTATTTTGAAACTAGAGGAAATAAAGTTGAACTCTACATCTTAAAATGTAGTCATGTATGAACTTTTGTATTAAATTAAAACAACTAGTAGCTTTCAAGTCTCATGAGATTTTTAGTTAGCAACAATCATTTATGTTTTAATAATGAGTGAGCTAATTATTTGTCGATAATGAAAACTCGTCATACATTCATATATATATATATATACACACACACGTACATATATGTAAATAATATTTCAAAGACAAATGATTACATATACATCTACACTTTTATTACCATAATATATATATATATATATATATATATCTCTGTGTGTGTGTGTGTGTGTACGTGTGTGCGCACGAGCGTTAGAGATGAGATATGCTCTAGCGTCCACTAAAATAGAGAAAGTTAAACATATAACATAATCTTATTAATTATGTTAAAATATAGCAAACAAATTTAAAACAGGGAAAAATGTAAAACCACTCTTTTATAGTAGTTATTTTTCTATTGTTGACCTCTTTAATTATAACTGTCTTTTTATTAGAATAAATTAATTTAAACAACTTAAACAAAAGAGATAATACTGAATAAAGGGACAATATGGATTTCACATTGAATTTTAAGGGTACATTAAAAGAAAATTCTTTAAAATGTTATAAATATGCAACAAATATCAAAATCATTAGAATATTACTACATTTTAACTTCACTTTATGAACTATGTAATTTTTACTAAATAATAAAAAGTGGACTTATATCGTAAAGAGCTGTCAACCTATCCAGATCTTGGGAAATGGTTATTCAACTTTATGCATGCAACTACTAGTTTGTCTTCGGTTTGGATGATGAGATTTTATAGTTTGTCTTCGGTTTCTTGGCAAAGTCAGTCTTACAAATTAATGTACTGTTGAGGGTTTAATGACATTGTCAACAACCAATTCATCTCTAATTGATCATCTCAAGAACCATTTATTGTTGTCTAACCAAATCATCCTTATTCACTTGCACTTGCTCTTCTGCATAATTATGATTGATTGACATTCGAAAGTATCTTTTCATCTACAAACTTACGATCAAGACGGCAAGACCCTAGGATAGAATTATTTAAGCAATAGACACTTGTAATTATTACCCAATCATGTAATGTGGTTTTAACCCTATTTGTAATACATCATAGGGTGCGTCTATTACACCTATTTTTCTACTTTTCATATACCCTTTTCTAATATTATTAAATTACCCATTAATAAAATTACTTTTAAGGACAATAATATTTAAAAAAAATAATCATTAAAAAAATATATTATCTTTAAGAGTTGTTGATGCAACAATTGGAATATTAGTGATATAATGATCATATATGATTGTCGAATAATATAGTGACATGATTGTAAAAAAAATTATATAATTTTGTAGTTTGTTACGTATTAGTGTTGATAATATTGCCGGAACTAATTATATGTTTTTATAGTTTTTACGGAGTTAAGCTATACGCATCGATTTTAAGGAATTCTTGCGTGAAGAATAGAAATTTTTTCATTTATTGTATAATTCGAAGTGCTATTTGTTACTTTATTGAGTTGTAGGAATCTTTTCAAAATTTTAAGAGTGGTGTAACAAGTAAACTGAAGGTACTTTAAGAATATGTGTGTAAAAAGTAAGATTATGAGTGATTTAGTTGTAGGAGCTTTTTTGAAATTTTAAGAGGAGTGCAACAAGTAGAATGAGGAGTAGTTTAAAAATGTGTGTGTGAAAAATAAAATAAAAAATAAAAAAATTGTCAATAGATGCACCCTACATCATAACATGACATCAATAGATTTATTTTTCCTGGCGTATCTACTTGCGATGACACTGACAATTATTTGTCAAATTAATTTATCAAGCTTTTCTTCACCGAATTAAGATTAGCCAATTAGGCAAATATTCAGGAGTAGTGATTAAAGAAAGCAGTTGAATTTCGGAGGCATTGTCATTTTCCAATAGGCCATGGTCGAAGTAGGCCCAATGTTCGCGACAAGATTTTTGAAGGGGCTGCCAAAGTCATGATCACATGTGCTCGTTGAACACGTCGTGATCTTTGTAGGAAGAGATAGCAGCTTTTCAAACAGTACTTCTCCTTTGAGGATTGAACTTGTGGAGAAATATAAGGGTTGTTCTTTTACAACAAAACTCAGAAAAAGTTTAAACTCAAATTATAATTTTATTTAAGTTTACGTTCTTTTAAGTTATAATTTTATTCAACTTTACTCAACTTTATTCAAGTTATAACTTCAACTCAAGTTATAACTCAAATTCAACTCAAAAACTACTCTCAAGTTACACTACAAAAGAAAATGCCCATATAGATTGCTTTATGTCACCAAGCATTTTGGTATCTGAATCATGTCGGTTTGAAGACGTGAAGATGAAGATGCCAGCATTCAATGAATCTTAGCTCCTGCATTCTTTTTTGGCGTACCCATTGTGCCATCCATCAAAATTAACAAACCCAAGAGACTCTTCTTTCTTCTTGTTCAATATCTCGCTTACATCAGAGATAGCCTCACATGTGTCTACCTCAGGGTTGCTTTCAAGTGGATATAGAATAAGGTTTGATTTGCGTTCATATTGTTCCTTCTGTCTAACATTATTTATAAAATAAGGCAACAGTTTAACTCGGGAATATTACTTTAAAGGAGGCACTAAAGCAAATAGTTTAAGGGCCCACAGAATCATTAGGACTAGGGTTAGGATTATTTTGGACTCTTATCTTTAGTAACACTAACAACCAGTTTTTTGTTTTTAGTCGAAATAAATAAGGCTTGTTCTTTTAGAATAAAACTCAAAAAAAAAAAATTTGAACTCAAGTTATAACTTTATTCAAGTTCATGTTCGTTCATAAAATTTGAGTTTGAAATTGAGTTTAGGGCTAAAATCTGAGCTCAAGTTCCCCCTCCAACTCAAACTCAAGTCAATGAACAGTATTTTTTTTATTCTTAAAATTGCTATAACTTTTTCGTTTTAATTCCGATTGAGATTATTTTTTTTTCTATATATTCACAGCGAAGAGACGAATAAAACCCCACCCATATATCCTATTAAAATTTTTTCATCACCATTGAGTTTTTATTAAAATATTATCTAAATACAAATTCAAGTTTTGACCTACCCAAACACAAACTCAAATAAATTATCAATTCAAACCATAACTCATGCACATTCAAACACAAACTCAAGTTATAACTCAAATTCAACTCAACATCTACATTCAAGTCACCAAAACTTAAAAATGCAACCGAACAAGCCCTATAATATTTCAACAGGACTGGTCTAAGATCTTTAACAAGTATAGAGTCTAACTGGCCTAAAATTTTAGGTTTGACTTAAGAAAATATTGTTGAACTTACCTAAGGACACGAGTCTCTTTTTTACCTTTTATAATTATAAATTGATTAATACTTTTTTTACTAATACTACTTAAAATTAGAAAAAAAATATTATTTATTTCACTCTATTCAAAAATAAATACTTGCCATTCACTTAATAATGATAAAACAAAATACCACACTGATATTTAATTATTTAGAATGAAGTACAAACCAGATTTCTAAAACATAAACTAGTAAGATATAACATGATCATTTAATTACTTAGTAAATAACGGATCCTTAAGAATTTGAATTTGTTTTTTTCTATTTTATCCTTATTTGTATTGCATTTTCCCTTTTTTTTTCCTTTTTCATCCTTCGCTTAGTTCTCTCTTAAACTTTGTCTCTCTCTCATCTGCGTTGTCGTTGTAATGTGAAAGCGCATTACCGATTACTTTATGAGGCGTAGCTACTTGGAAAAGTCTGCATCAGGATTGTAATTGAACGACCGTGATTGTTTTGTGGGGTACTGTGACTTCATCCGGCGGCGGCCGAATTAGTAAAGTTGTTCTCCGCTTTCAAATTGGAGAATAATGAAAGAATGAAGGATAATAACTTGGGTTTAATTAGACGTATGGCCAAATTACAGTTATGTAATTGAAATATAGCCTACATTTGAGAATATTTTGGCCTAATTGTATAATGATATTTAAATAATGTATTATGTAATTACTTTTCTAACCTTTTAATGATATCAATTTCTTACTTATCTTGATATTGCTCTACTTTTTTCTCATATTTTGTGGGATATCAACCTTTTAAATCGCAAAATTAAAAAACCAAATCCCATCAAATAAAAAATATAAATATCATCAAAATACATGCTCATTAGTGAAGGTTTAACTTATTTTGTTTAGCAATACACTATATCCTATCATTAAAATACACGCTCATTAAATTAATGACATTATTTTGTTTAACAATACATTATATCCTATCATTAAAATACATGCTCATTATTTTAACAATACACTATATCCTATCATTAAAATACATGGTCATAGCAAAAGAAGAGGTTTTCTAGTGAGAAAATTTCAGAGAAAGAGAGAAAGAGCATGGGGAAGAAGGGGAATAGTTTGGCTGGCTACCGAAAGCGTGTCTTCGGTTAATCGGCCCCCAAAATACACCCAAGCACTTTGCATTAGCCGATCTACACGATGGTGGAATAAAGGTAGTCATTTTGTCGGTGTTGGTATTTTTTTTTCCCACAAATTGTTAGCGTGCTTTGGTTGTTTTTGTTATTTTTGGTCGTGTTCCCCCACCAAGCTATAACTTTGTGTGGGTT